TAGCCAAAGACAGTCTCCGTCTCCTAGTCTTAGTCACAAACTCTGACAGTGACACAGACGCGACAGAGTAAGCACAGCTATAGGTACACCACCATCACGTGCCGCATCAATCGTGATGCTGAGTCATACTCATATGATTCATATGACTGACTCATATGATTCATATGATATGATTCGATATGAATCGTATGCATCACACGTGTATAACTTAACTGCATATCATGAACCCTATGATCATGCACACTAAGAGGAATGCGAGTCGTGTGTCGATGAATACACACCAAAACGTTTAAATTAAAACTTATAACTTATAACTTATAACTCATAACTTGTAACCTATGCCTATAACTTTAACTAACTATAATTTCTAACTTATAGCTTGTGGTGTATATGTAATCCGATATTGTGCAATTATGCCATATGATTGCATGAGTTATACTTCACGACAGACTATACGGTATATAAGCGTTATACAGCTATACAGTATATATACAGTCATACCCTCAGCCGGTACACATCAGTCTGCGGTAAGTTGTGCGTGCTACCTGCAGTTAAGACATTAGCTTAGCTTAGACTGTACTCTGCAATAAATCAATAAGTTACGAAGTTACTTAAACGGGTTGTACTGTTGTACTTAATACTCACCATGTAGACTGATATTAAAGCACCACCATGTCATGCCGACCACACCACACGGAACCTGAATCACTGCTACATACTCTACGTATCAGGGTAGCAGAACTTCATATGACACATATGATCAAATGAAGATATGTCTCGTCACACCAAATCAGCTACCGCAGTAATATCAATACACACAGATTCACAGTTCATAAGTTCATGATTCAGATTCAAAAAAAAACAAACCCTTCATACCGAGTCATACCACCTCCTACAAAAGGCGGATCTTGTCTCCGGCGTGACAGTGGGCACGGCGACGCTGCTAAATCGCTGGCGGCGCACCATCGCAGAAAGCTTGGATGCACTGACCGGCATGACAATCCCTGTGTACGCCATCGGCACGGAGGAGGTCTACCTGGCTGACATGCTGGCGGATCAGAAGGTGACCAAGCTGTCCCAATGCACAGATGCCTTGCAAGCCGCGGTCCGCGGGTTGAAGACGGTGTCAGATCGGCTGCAGGTGGACGTGGCAGCCGAACTGCAGCCGGCAGAGAAAGCCGCTCTGGCGGCCCTTGCGCAAGTCTGCACGGTCACATGCCTGAAGATTCTTCGCTCCAAGTCCGCGTCGCAAAAGCAACCTACCTTGAGGCCGGCGGTCGAGGCAACACTCGAGTTCGCTAGAACGAACCGCCTGGAGGTGCCCCAGGGGGTGATTGATCGAATGGAGAAACTTCATTCCGAACTCAACGTGGAGGCCACGCCTCAGAAAAAAATTCGGGCGGCCTGAATTCGAATGTCTCCCTGACACCGGGTGCATCGTCCAGGAGGTATGACTCATGACTCATGACTCCTGAGTCATGAGCTACAACTGGCTACACAGTAGGCCTAGGATTCGGATGAACATCAAGGCTACATGTTACATGCTTACATGCTACATTTACATAGCTACATTGTTACATTAGTTACATTACTACATTACTATTACATAATTTACATGGTTCACGCATGGTACACGCTCATTACTAATTATCTTATCAAATCTGCATGGCTGCATTACACACATCTGTGTGCTTCTGTATCGTACCATAATATAATATCATATCATATCATCGTATCATATGAATCATAGAACCATACATCATATCATGTCACATAACTCATGTAGCCATAATCAGATATTGATTATTGTGGACCATGGATGATAATATACATTGCTTACTAGGTACTAGTACTCTACTAGGTTACT